CTGGCAGCCCTGGAGGAGGCCGGCCAGGAGGATCAGTGTGGAGACTATTGCAGTCACCGAGGAGGGCAGTGAGAGAGGTGTAAAATGAGGCAGTGGCAGAGGACAGTGCAGCCATGTGAAAGGCCCCGGGCCTGTGTTGGAGGTGCTTTGTAAACACGTGCTGAATTTAATGGATAAGGGAGCAGTAGGCAGACTACCACAGGAGCATGGAGCCCTGCTGGGAGCCCCTGCGTGCTATCTGCTGTACAAACAAAAGGGGTGGCTCTGGGTACTTCTCAGCTGAAGGAGAAAGGAGATGGTCAGGGAGATCTGCATGCCTGTTCTGTCTGATGGAGAGAGAACTCAGCTACGAAGAGAACAAGCTGCTCAGAGAAGACTGCAAGGGGACCTGGCCCAGGCAGCACACTTCAGAATTGGCTTTTTTTTGGTATTTTTGAGACAGGATCTCACTGTGTAAATCAGGCTTACCCCAAGCTCATTACGTTGCCCAGGTTGTTCTTGAACACTTAGCAGTCCTCCTGCCTCAGCCTCCTGAGTGCTGGAATTACAGGTATGAGCCACCATGCCTGGCCCCCAATCTCCTTTCCATGAGGACCACAGCACAGCTCTGTGTCCTGAAGAATTGGCCATTTTGCCAGCAGAGAAATGTGATGCAGAGTGGACCCACAGCACCAAGGAAGACACCATCAGCAGAGGACACATGGGCACCAGAACACACCTGGAATAGCAGACACAAGCTTATTGGTGTCTAAACACGTGAGGGACACCAATGACCCTCTCTTGGACTTTCAGAAGCATCTACAGGAGAATTGACAGGTGGTGGCAAACGTGACTATAACGTGGGCACTTTGTTACTACCACCATTTTGCATCTACAGGTCTGTAAAGCCTGAGACATGTGATTACAGAATGAATGAATAGACGAGATGACATAGCTGTCACTTGTTCATTCATTAGACATATTTATTGAGCCTTGGTGTGCCACGCACAGTGTGAGATGTGGGACCTTACAAAACACAAAGGATCCCTGGCCCGTGGTGCTTCTGGTCTGATAGTGCCATGACCCAGTTTAGTGCCACCATCTGTATGTGTGCCATTCAGGAAAAGCATGGGATTCATGAGACCATCTACCAGAAGGTGTTATTTTAGATGAGGGATCAGAGAGGGACGTGTGAGGACATGACATTTTAAAGGCAGAACAGAACTCGAGTTAGCAGGTGAAGACAGAGGCCGTGCATTCCAGACCCAGGGATGTGCAGGTGGGGGAGATGCAGGGACAAACGCTTGTCCCTCTGTAGGTTGAAAGGAGGGCAGTGGGGCAGAGCTAAGACAGCAAAGTGGGCACAGGCACCAGAGAAGCTGGGGACAGATCCCAGCTGGGGTCAGACCCCACCAGAGCTCTTAGGACTTAGGGTTGGGAGCTAAATGCAGTGGGACGGAGAGAAGTGTGATCAGATCTGTTTGCACGAAGACTGCCCTGGTGTGTGTGTGTGTGTGTGTGAAGAGGCAAGGGGAGAGTGTGGAAGAGGACACAGTTGCCTGAGAGTGGCCTGAGGGTGGCATGGCTGTGATGGTGAAGTGGAAAAACTTGAAAAATAGTTTTTAAAAGAACTGAGACAGACAGACACATTTCCTTTCCATCATTTCCAGCATTTGATTGTGCTGATCCATCCCTGATGTGGGCTGTTTTGCTTTGGCTTAGGAGAGATCTTTCATTTGTTTTTTCTCTTGAGATGAGATTTGGCTATTTTCCCAAGACTGGCCTTGAACTCTCAGGTTGAGGTGGTTTCCCGACTCAGTTTTTTGAGCAGCTGGGACTCCAGGCAGGCGCCACGGTGCCTAGCGGGTCAGCAGAGAGGTCGAGGACACGCCTACCCTTGACTCACTAAGAGTCCCATGTGATTGGCCTCAATTTTACGTTTGAGATTTCCTGAGAAAGCTTTCACAACTTCTTTAGTAACCTCTGCTCATGTTCAAAATACACAATTACCGTCAGGAAGTCCCAGCTTGTGTTTCATCTGAATGCTTGCCACTCAAAAAGCTTTTGATTGCTGATGCTGATGAAGATGGGAAAAGAAGGCATTCGGCTGCTTAATAGGAATGAGGTCATGAAGACAGTTCTCACTTGTGTCTGTCCCAAAGCCAAAGTGATTTCATCAGCAACAGAGGAACAACTGTATAGTCCCCAGAAAAGGAATCCAATTAGATGTGTGTGGCTGTGTAGCTCACTGCCAGGTTCTTTGCTCTCAAAGCTCCTGGTGCGGGCCAGGAGCAGTACCTGGGAGCTGGTTAGAAATACGGGATCGAATCAGCAGCTGCAATTTTTTAGCACGATTCCCAGGCAATTCATAGGCACCTGAAGACTTGAGGAGCAGCCACCTTAGATCATTGTGAGGCTGTCTAAAAGCGTGTGGGCAGTGGTAGGTGCCAGAGAGTTGACATGCAGGGAGCCTTGGCAGGCACTTACGAGAACCCAACTGGTCCAACAGGAACTGGTTTTTCCCTGAAAGTTCCCTGCCCCAAAGCCGCTAAGACCATTGCAACCCAAATCAGAGGCAACATGCTGGCTGCTGCTTATGTGGCTGGAGAGAGGCACTGGGTGGACACCCCCTTGCTGCTGAGATGCTGACAGGCAGAAACTGGGGTAGGGATGGGGAGTGGGGAGCAACCCCTCATATGCTGCCCGCCACCACATAGTAGGTAGCCACAGAGGCCGAGGAGGGTTGAGCTTGCATCCTGTCCCACCCAGTGTAAAGAGTTTGATCTTTGTCTTCTTAGCTTGGTCCCCAAGTGTCTTGCTCTCTGTGGTGGCTTGGGTGACACTCTCCTGTATCTTTTTGGATTAAGTCATGGTGATGAGCAGGGTAAAGCAAATTTAGCACCTCAATCAAAAATACTCCCACATACTCCTAGAACAAGATGCCTGGCTCCACACATTCTGAGAGCTCTGCTTACACCACCCACCTGGCTGATCAGCTTCTCCAGCCCAAGGACCCCGCCACTGCCCCCACCCCTGAGGCCCCTTCCCACAAACACCAAAGTCAACCTGGCAAAACAAGGACACTGCTTTGTTACTACTGCCTTCTTGCAAAGTGTTTCCAGGCCCAAGATGCAGACCGGAAGCAAATCATTTGTCTCTGTCTTAACTGGGGCTGGTCCTCCCACAGAACCTGACAAACGGATAAAGTTGGTGGGTTGTTCAAAGCATATGGTTTGCAAATACTGTAAAACCAACATTACTTTTGGCTTTTATGTACTGTACTGTTCCACCTCGCACCTAGCACCAAGATAGCTGATGAGGTCCTTTGCACCTTGGCTGCCTTCCCCTGCTGCTTTTTCCTCCTGGGCAATCTTCGCCCCTACCTTGCTCCAATCCACCCCCTCCTGCCCCTTCTCTTTCTTCTGGGTGGCTCAGAGCCTTATCTCGCTGTCCTCCCTGCCCCAGTTGATGTCTTGCTCCCTTCCCTCCCTCTGCCTCTCCTGTGCTCGGCGATCCGATCCTCTGAAATGCTCATCTCTTCTCCCTGCCTTCGCTTCTAAAGGCCGCAGCTGCTCCTCACTTACACTCTGCTTCCCCCAGCCGCTTCCAGGCTATTTTCTCTTCCCTTCCCGTCCCTACTGCAGAGCCCTTTCTTCCCCTTGGTCTCTTTTAAGTGAACATGGGGATCAGAGAACTGTAGAATCAGAGTCACAAGGGACAGAGCTGGCATCCCCCTGACAGTCCCATCTGAGTCAGAAGCAGCCTTCTTTTATCCTGTGTACTAATGGCTGCTCTTCTGTTTCTCCCTATAGCAGAAAGGGCTGGGGAGAAGAAACAAAGGGTTAGGGCTCCCACCATGCATCCTCACCAACACCATCCATTTCTCTCTTGTCTCTGTACACACACATGCACACGTGCATAGAAGCACACACATCTGCATGTGTGCACACACACACAGGCATGCACATGCTCACACAATCCTTCAAAGTGTACTCCATGCAAATGTGTGTGTTCCCAGGCTCCACTATGGCACAGAGCTTCTCCTCCAGCTTCCTGTTCCCTTCCACCCAGGCTGATCTGCTCTTCACACCCCCAGGGCACTAGAATACACAGTCGCAGTTTGAGGTGTCAAGGAGGGACAGTGGCAGTGGGGTTCCTCTCCTCAGGGGCAACTCTTGGAAATGGGAAGGGCAGCAGTGGTTCAGCAGTCGATGGATCAGGAAGCTGTTTTCAAGCCAGCTCTTGATAGATAGATCAATACATCTATCAATCCATTCTCCATGCTCTTGGCTTCTCTCTGGGCCACTGGGCAAGGCAGCTTCAAGCACAGGAAATCAAGCCAGAAAACCAACGCAGCCCTGCAGAGACACCCCGGAAGCTGTCAAACAATGACTCTAACATTCCGTATTTTCAGCCAGTACGTCTCCAAACACTTGACAGAATCCAGAATGCTGCTTGCCTTGTAGCTGGGGAAACAGAGGTTATAGCCAAGTAGGCCCCGAGGGATCTGTAAAAATCCACTCTGCCTTTCTCCATGTTGGAGACACTCTCTCCTGTCAGGCACAGGGAAGAAGATTGCTACCGAAAGAGCATTCACTGGAGGAGAAGTCTCAACTGGCCTTGCTCTGGCAGGGACTCTCTCGTGCTGCTGCTGCTGCCGTCCTTGCCTGTTTCCTGCTCAGACTTGCTTGGTGCCTGTGGGCCTGGATGGGCTCCACATTAATTCCTAATACAGCAGTGGGAGAATGGGTGGCGTGCTGCCCTATGAACCCTCCTGGTGCGTGGGGTGTGCAGGTAAATCCCAACGTGCCCCACCAAGTCCAGCTCCACCCTGCTGTTCATTGGCAGAGGCAGGGGTGCAATCTCTGCTTAGCTGCTTTTGGGAAAACTCCCAAGCCAGGGAGGAAGTGGGGAGAGATCAAAAAAGTTCCATGTCATCCCCCTGCCTGTGTGTCCTGCTTCCCCCTCTGCACACCCCTGGGAGGAGCCAACAAAGAAGTCAGTATCATTCTCCACCTGTGTCCCTTTCAGATCAATTCATTAACCAACTTCACTGCCAATAAATACTATTGTAAACTGTGTACATACATAGGCATACTTATAGATGCTGTTCAGACACGGCACACATACACACGCACACCCATGTGCTCTCTCATGGATACGTAGTTATGTAGTCCAGCTCTTGTTCTTTGCTCCCTCTCTGACGGGACAAAAGCCCCCGTCCCCAAATGGTTCATCTCATCATGGGTGCCACGTAGTTGGCCGGAAAGAGGCCCAGTTTGTTGTTCAGGAAGCCGGTCCACCAGCAGGGGTTGGAGCTGTCTAGGACCTCGACCACCTCTCCAGTGCGGAATCCCAGCTCGTCGTCCTCCAGGGCTTCAAAGTCGTACAGAGCTCGGGCCCACCGCACGCGCTGTGAGGAAGACACAAAGATGGTTTCCTGAGCTGCAGCTGGCCCGGTGGGGCTTTGGGCTGCCACTGTGACATAGAGGACCTCTGAGGCTCCCCTTACACCTGCATGCATGACCTGAGCATGAGGCTGCCAGAATTCCCTGGCTGCTGCTGCTTTTTTCTTTATTACAATACTGGGGATTGAACCCACTGAGCTACACTGAGAGATCTTTTTTTATTTTTTGTGCCAAGACAGTATCTCATCAAGTTGCTAAATTTGTCCAGGTTGGGCTCAAACTTGAGGCTCTCCTGCCTCAGACTCCCAGAATGCTGAGATTATAGGCATTTGCCACAATTCTCAGCTCTCAGCTTGATTTTTAAGACCCAGGGCTTTCGTTGTGTACACGCTATGCTAGGGACCAAAGCCAGGGCTTTTGTATGCTAGGCAAGAGCTCTACCACTGAGCTACCTCCCCAGCCCAGGATTGAGACATTTTACAGACAGAAATATTTCCCTCTAGGGCCTCAAGGGAATCCTTGAGACCTACTAACTTCATCAAAGGTGCTATTTTTATTTTCTTCAGGTGACACACAGAATGGCAACATTCCCGAAAGAACCTCCTCTGAGTTTAGTTTGATCAAGTCCCTAGTCAAGATGGATGACAAGGATAAAGGCCACCAATCTCCCGTTGCCAGAACCAGACACAAGATATATGAGAGCAGGGCCAGGCTGACAGCCAAACTGAGAACAACAGCCTGGCGGGCTCCCTGCTCCCAGCTCATGCGGCCCACTTACCCCTGCCACTTGGAGCTGGACTGGGTCTGTGTGTCTCCGGTGCATGAGAGCTGCGCTCATCTCGCTGCTCATACCCATGCCACAGTGCCCGTCGTTTATGTCCAGGCTGCATCCACGGCGGTCCTAGAGACACATGACAGGGATTCATCACCCTACTTTCAGGGGCGTCTCCTACATCCCCCCCTCCTGCATAAGCCCTGGCTGATGAAGAAGGGAGGGAGGAGCAAGACAGAGATGACCGGGGCTTAATTTATTTAATTAAGAAATATTGGAGCCAGGGATTTAGCTCAGTGGCATAAATGCCTGGCTGGCAAGTGCAAGGTCATGAGTTTGATCCCCAGTACAAAAAAAAAATTTACTAAAGGGAGTCTCATGCTCTCGTGTCATAGGCATGCAATCAGTGTATAAGTTCTTTTTTCTGATATTAAAAAAAGAAATATTTACGAGGCACTTAGCCTATGGCATTGGGCCAGCCACTGGGGCTGTATTGCTAGAAAGAGAAGTCCTCTTCCCCCAGGCAGCTTCCTTTGAAGGGGCTACAATGCACGAGAAAGTGCCCACGAGCAGTCAGAGGTGGAGTGGTCTGCCTGGGTAAATCAGGGCAGGCTTCAGAGAGAATGTGGTACCTGAACTCCAGCTGCAGAGGTGAAGGTGACTGGCTGGGGCAAGTCCAGTACTCTAGGAGGCTGAGGAAGGAGGCTGGAAAGTTCAAGCTCAGCCTGGGCAATTTAATAGCTTTTTGAGATCTTGTCTCAAAATACACAAAAGTATAAAAGAAGCTCAGGGCAAAGGCCCTGCATTCAATCCCAGAAACACACACACATACAGCGTGTTTGAAGGGGAGGACTGGTCAGGCAAGGACCCTTCAGGCAGAGGCAACAGCTTATAAAAAGCCAGAGACAAGGAAGAAAGGCAGTGAGCCATTCAGGGAACAAAAGGTGGCCGGTGCTGCTGAGATGTGTGTGTGTGTGCGTGTGTGTGTGTGTGTGTGTGTGTGTGTGTGTATGGAGGGAGCAGGTGGCCGCAGATGAGGCTGGGGGAGTAGATGCAGGCAGCTCACAAAAGACTATGCATGCCCTGCTAAGGAATGTAGGAATGATGTTATCAGGCTGTATTGTCCATCTCAGTAAGCCACCTGAAATCCCATCTGGAACTTGCAAGAGGTAAATAAATAAGCAAGGCTCCAGTGCAGGTACTAATCCTCTTTTTCTTTTCTGCTTATAGATCTTCACAGCCAGATGGGTTAAGGGGCATACACAGGTATGGAGTTCCACTGATAGGAAAATGAAGCAACTATTCACTGAGCCCTCAGAGAGAGAGAGAGAGAGAAAGAGAGAGAGAGAGAGAGAGAGAGAGAGAGAGATAGTGTGTGTGTGTGTGTTTGTGTGTGTGTGTGTGTGTGTGTGTGTGTGTGTGTGTGTATTTAGGCAAGGACCCACTTAGTTCACAGAGATCTCTTTGCCAAGGGCACTTTCCATATTTTGGCCATCTTGGAGGGGAGCGGGCTGCAGAATCTCCTTCATGAACTCTGCGAGACTCCAAGAGACCCAGCCAGGCCTGAGACCTCGCTCTCCTCCCATGAGCTTCGGGGAGGGCAGATCCTCCTTCCCAACTCACCAGGGACCACTTCTTTCCTTCCAGATACCTGGTTAAAATGCTGGTGTTGCAGGTAGCGCTGCTGGGGGAGTGGCTGTGGCCCCGGGGTGAAGTGCTGGGGCAGCTGCTGGTGCTGGTGGCTCTGGGAGGGAGGCGGAGGTGGATGGTCTGACAGCTTCCGGTTCATAGAAGGCCGAACTTCTTCCCCCACTTCTCCGCCGAGATGTGGGCCTCCCTGAGACCTCCTGTCCAAACTGTTGCCCCGGTGACCCTGGGAGAGAGAATGGAGTCTATGACGCCGATCCGTCCTCCCCACACATCTCCTCAGTCTTGTGGCAGCTTCTAGATTTTGCTCACCACCCTGGTAGGTAAGAGCTTTGCAAACGATGAGGGTGGGATAGCTCAAAGAATCACTGATTGGGACCTCTACATTGTCCAAAATGGCCTCTGCATTTTCAGATTTTTCCTAGTTTTGGGAGTTCCGGTTGAGAGATACTCTGGTTGAGAGATACTCTTTCCATGCAGGACACATTTAGTACATTTCTAGTGGTTTTGTTTTTCTCTGTGTAATCAAGCTTAAATATCCCATTTACTGACACAATGCTACCCCTTCTTATCACGTTGCTACACTGCTAGACATCCTGCCCTCCAGATAAGCTCTGCTGTTGACTTTGTGTGATTTTGAGCTGTCATTTATAGCCTGGTGACAGAGACCCCAACAGCAACATTCTGGCAGCACCATGGAAACCAAGGTTGCCACTGGGCGTGTTGGGAAGGAGCAGGGTCTTTCTACTTCCTACTGAAACAACTGGGGAATCAGAAATATCTTATTGTTATTTTTATTTAACAAATAATTACATAAAGCCTCAGGCTTTATGTTCATGCCAGCACTTTACAAATATTAACTCACTTAACCCAGTTTAATGCAATTCTCTATTGCCTCTCTTATCTCTAAAAGCACATCCCAGTAGGTTAATACCTCTGTCCATTTCCTGTTTAAAATAATTCACAAACTTTTGTTGGCCTTTGTTTCCCTTTCTGAACTTCTGTGTGCACTGGGTGGAGATGTCCTTTCCTCCTTCAATTGTAATTTCTCAGTGTTTAAAACAGCTGGTGGTTTGGAAGGGAGGGTTTTCTTCTCCCCACCAAAGCTCTTCAAATAACCTATTCCTAGGACTTCTGCTATTCTAATCAAGGCTTCTTCCTATAATACTTGTCTCTTATGGCATGTTTTCTCCTTTTAGAAATAGTTTTTATATTGTGTGTGTGCACACATGCGTGGATATTCACCTACAGGAGGCAGATTACCATTTCCTAGCTGCCTACTGTGAACCAGATTCTGTGGTAGGGTTGTGGCTATGTTATATTTAACCTCTGCAAGAGCCCAGTGAAGGAGATTATTATTGTTCTCTCTATTATATCTATGAGAAAACTGATACTCAAGAAGGTTTCTTCACTTGAATAAGTAGTATAGGTAGTTACTGATTGAATCAGTATTTAACTGATGCATTTCTTTTTCTTTTTCCCCTTCCAACTTCTTTTTGGGAACTACCAACAATTCCAAGAGCAAGATTTCCAGGACTGGTTTTCCCCTCCAATGTCCCACTGGTCCCAACCTAAGGTGGTCACAAAGCTCCACCGTGGTCCTGACCCTTGGCTGACTCTCACATCCCTGTTTGTACCCTTGATTCCATCCTTGAGCAGTTCCTGAGCTGGGGACTACAAATGGTTATGTGGCAATGTCTAAGAATAGCAAAATAATAATACTCTGATGAGAGCAAATATTATGCAATAGTTGCAATGATTGGAGATGATGGAGAAGGTGGGGTATATTATACTCTCTTACCCTCCTAACTTCCTGTGAGATAGACGTACTTTTATCCCCGTTTTATGGATGGGAAATTAAGGATCAGAGAACCTTCCAAAGTGTCATAGCCAGAAAGTATGAAACCAGGATTAAAAATGAGACCTGACCTCAGAGTTATCCAGCCTTTGGGAATACTCAGCAGATTTGCTGGTCAAATGCATTTTCTTGGTGATTTATGTAGGAATTTGCACTGCCTGAAATCTCTAGGTCAAGATTGATTGCTGGGCCACTAGCATACCTTATCTTCACGGATTCTGTCCCTCAGGAAGATCTGCTTCTGTTTGGAGATGGAATTTGTCCTGTAGTAGTCCACCAGTTTATTTAGCGATGGGAACTTCTCAGTCCACAGGAAGTAATTACCCTTGTTGTCTCGCATGACCTTGAAGTGCTGAACATCATCCTCGTGTCTAGAGATCAAGGCAAATCCAAGCTGCACGTTACACACTAGCAATGACTCTGCCTCCAAGGCTGTTTGCACCAGGGATGGCAGAGTTCTCTTTGGGCAGGAGATGTAGATGTGGATACTTTGCCCATCACTGCTGGTCTAGCCAAGCTTTAGCAGGAGGTTTGTGGGAGGGACTACTTGAGACTCTGGCTACAGGACAGGGATTTTTACACTAGCAGAAGGTAATCAGATGAGCTGGAATCTCTCTTGGAAAGTGGAGCCAACATTTACCAGAAAAAAAAATATTCCAAATGCCTTAAAGACCAAAACATCAAAGACTTTTGGATAACATTTATTTGAAACATGGAAACACCTGGGTCCTGTACTATAGACTTGGCAGTTGGAGGGATTTTAAAGCCCCTATTATCTTTTTAAAATTTTTTATTAAGACCTTACTTTGCATTGTGTTCTCAAAGCCCATAAGCTGGCCCTGGCCACTAAGAAGCCACTCTTCCCTAAGGAAGACGCATGTCTCTCTACAGAAAGAAGATTTCTTGATCTTAGTTTCTATGTTGCACAAATAAGATTATAAAACATTTTGATATTTGGTCGGGAAAAAGGCATTATACGGAATTGTAGACTTGAATTGGGAAAGACAGTGGAGACTGGTTAACCTTAGTTGTTGGAACTCAGAGAGGTGCAAGGGCTCGGTCAAGGGCATTGTGAGAGACTGGCAGAGATGAGGCAAAAACCGTGGCTCTCTGATTCCAGTCTGCTCGGCTTGCCCTGTCATCCTGTGTAGACATGCTAATTTCTTTTTGGTCAGCACCTTCTGATAGCAGTCTGAAATCAAATGATAGAACACATTTGTACCAGGGAAATTGGATTTTATCCATCTAGAAAGGGGGAACTGGGCTTATTGGCTTGTCTTTGACACTAAGTCATTCTCTCTTGGACATAAATTTTATTTTTCAGACAGATATACATATGTACTGGGGATATAGCTCAGCGGCATGCCCACCTGCCTGGCAAGCCCAAGGTCCTGAGTTGGATTCCCGGTACAAAAAAAACCAAGCCAAACAAACAAACTGATGTACATTTATATCTAAAGATACACCATTTCATCCACATCTCCTAGTCACAGAAGGCAGAAAGTGAAACATTAACTCCTTCACTTTCATAAGCTTCAACAATGGATGATCTGGGCTCTATGGGCAGAGAATGACCATTGACTCAAATCCTTCACGTCACACAAAAAAGGGTGTGCATAAATGCAGGGCTCCGGATCCCAAAGCCTACAGTTTCCTTGGCAAGTACTAAGTAATAGAACTACCATGCACCCTAATACCAAGCCCATGACAGAAAGCAGACATAAAAATAAATGCAAGTGATTCTGCTTTGGACTATGTTTCTACAGAAGACACACAGAGATTATGGTAATGATCACACAACCAGAGGCTGCAGTGCCTCAGCACCAGGGTGACTTCGGCAGAAGTCAATGCTGACTGCTCTGTAGAGTTCATTTCAATCAAGAAAATATAAACCTTAATCCCTTGCTGAAAAAGTCAGGATCATAGCTATGCAAACCACAGGCACACGAGGTGCCCGTCAATCTAACAAATTGCTCGGTCCAGTTAGTAACTGAGGTCCTTAAAAAGCAAGTTTGATGTTTTAGGTTTACTAACAGAGCAAAATTTCATTAATTAAGAACTAATACATTTAGCTTTTGTGATATTTTCATTTGGGGATTAAGCCGATGCTTGCCACCGCCCAAAGTATAGAAAAGAGAGTTTCAATTCAGGAAAATTAATAATGGTAATGCTAAAGAGATCAGGCTAGCCAGGTGAGAGATGATGCATGCTGTTAAAGCCTGTCAGGAGGCTGAGACAGAAAGGTTTCATTATTTGTAAGACCTTCTTCCCAATATTCAAAAAATATCCATTCTTATTAAATAGTAAAATAGTCACAGTTTATTATCTGAGGTTGGATTTCTGTGCTTGAAGCAGTAAAGCTTTGCACATTTTAATATCATTGAATTGTCCAGACCAGCATTTCCTGCCAATGAATTGTACAGGTTGCCAGGACTTCCTGTCTGCTGTCACTTCTATTTCTTTTACTTTCATGTGTGGTCACCAAGTGTGACTTGCAATCCTTCACATGCTGACCTCATGTACTGTGTTCAGACCTCGGGCCTCAGTTTGGGGCTGTGTCATGTCTGTGCCTCGACTGAGTCACTTCCTCCCTCGTGTGGCACAGGAGTGACATTTTGCAGTTACAGTCCCCCCACCTGGGCCCTCCTCTGCTGCGCTCTGTTGTTCTCGGTTTCTCTGCCCCAGAATGTGTGGTATCCACTTTGCTTTGTATTCAGCTACACAAATACCAAACAGCAATGAGCTGGGATTTCTACTTTTCTCTGACCCTTCTGCAGCTGGGTATCAGTAGTAACAGAAAAGGTTAAGATTTAAATCCCCGGATGGAAATGGTCAAGTGGAGCTCTCTTTTCATTTCCTCCCCTCCTCCCTTCCACACATACGCCTTGATCATCTATACTGTGGCAGGCTCTGTCATGAGCACAAAGAGGAAGGAAATAAAAATCCTGCACTCCCAGAAGCACCTGGGTGAGAAGGGGAAGCAGATGAACGTATGTGTGTATGCTTTTGGACACAGATCAACCAGTATACTAAGGGTTATGGATGCACGTTCTGGGAAGGAAATGGGCAGCAGCACAGTCGATAAGATGTCATCATGCTCGGTTGCCTTAATCACCATGCTTCTGATCACTGGGGCATGTTGGGGAAGTCACCTCCTGGCTTCAGCAGTCTGGGCAGTTAGAGGCTGGGAAGGATCAAGGTGGTGTTGGGAGTGGCCAGTACCTGACGGAGATGGAGAAGTCCCCTGGGGAGCTCTGGCTGGCCCGGATGATGAAGAAACCAACCTCCTTGCCCATAAGTAAGTTCTCTGCCTGGTGTCTGGAGAGGCCTTCGTGAAACCACCTATCCGGGAAGACAGGACAAGAGGATCTTGATGAGATGCATGATGCTGAGGGGGAAAGTGAGAAGGGGTGACCCAACACAGGGAGGCTGCGGACTCGTTCAGTTGGGAGCAGATAAACTGGGGTGGGGGTAGGGTGGGGAATTCAGGTGCTTTCTGAAACTCAACAATAGCTCTAATAGTGCAAAAGCCCGTGCGTGTTCCTCCTGACTTGCCCTCCTTTGTTCCTTCCCTACAGGAGAACACTCTGGAAAACTTGAATCATGCAAACGTGCCACTGCACCAAAACAGGGCCGTAGGGGAGTGACTCACTTTGGGAAGCAGCTGCCTGTCCACACAGCTGTGAGGCATAGCAAAGACCTACAGGACAGATGATGCACAGGCAGGAAGGGGCCACTGTAGGTACTGAGGCCACCTGGGCAGCTGGCTGGGGAGCACTTGGGACCTTACTCCAGGCCAAGATTTTAGTGGCCCAGAGACCACCCCAGGGAGCACTGGGGGAGAATGACACTCTGCGGCTCCCTGGGCCTTGTGGAGTATGAGGGAACTCTGCTCAGGGTTCAGATCAGAGGGTGCAGAGGCACCCAGGGGGTCACATGCAGGCTTGGAGATGATTCAGACTGGCAGCAGTTGGTGAGTGCATCTATATAGGCACCTCCTTTGGATTCTCTTGTGGACAATTCCTTGGGCTCCTGACACACACACATGCGCACACACATACATACACACACACACACACATACCCATCCAAGCTGAAAGTCAGCTTTACCAAGGAAAATAATAAACAAGAGACTGGATTTTCCAAAGTGGAAAATGGGCAGCAGGCTCTGGAATGTTGCTGCACACAGCCTGGTAGTGTGAAAAAGTCAAACACTTGTGCAGGGCCACAACCTTCAGGCGGGAGGTCAGAAACTTCCCCCAACCACAGAAAAGCGAAACAGGTGTTTGCAGTCACTCAGAGGGCAAACGTGGGGCAGTAGCATAGTGCTTCAAGGTGGCTGCACTAAGTGCCCCCCCAATACATTGTTTCTGTCTTTTTTTTTTTTTTTTTGAGACATCTCATTATGTAAAGCACGCTGGCCTTGAGCTCACTATGGAGCCCAGGTTGGCCTTGAACTTGCAATCCTTCTGCCTCAGCCTCCCAAGCACTGGGATGACAGCAGCCAGAGCTCAAAGAAAACATTTCACAAGAGGTAACACCAGGCAGTTAGGAGGTTTTAGAAAATATATCTGTTCTTGAACTGGAATTGAATAAGTGATTTTTTCCAAGACTCTCAAAAAGGCCCACATACTATATATTAGTGGCCAGTTTTAATAGTCTCTATCATTCCGAAACTACTCATTTAGCAGCTTTTGTTGAACACCCACCATTGTGTCAGACCTTCTGAGCCCCGGTGAGCAGAACAGACAAGTCACCCCACTGTTAGGGAACTGATATGGGGGGGGATACATAATAAATTAACAGAATAATCAAATACACAGTACTCCAGAGGATGATATTCACACAGGACAAATGAAAGCTAGGAGGGGGAGCAGGGCATGAGGTCTGGGGGGTCATTTAAAGAATATGATGACAAAGACCTCTCTGAGAGGGGATATTCTAAACCTGAAGGAGAGTGGGGAGGATGAAGCAAAGGAGCCAGTGAGGTGGGAAGACCACGGGGCAGGGAGGGAGGAAGGTGGCCCCCAGCCAGATGACAACGGGTTCCAGAAGGAAGGCGAGGTCCCCAGGTTCTGCCGCACAGAGATGATAGCTAAGGACGGGCCATCGAGACTTGCAGTTCACCGTGACCTTGGTGGGAAGGTTTAGAGGCGTGCTGAGGTGTTCCGGAGAGAAAAGGAGTTGAGGAGTTGGAAATACCACACACTAACAAGTCTTAGGAAGAAATGAAGTGGGAGTCGGAAAGGGCTGGGAATTGTTTCTTCTTTGTTGATTTTTTTTCTTTTTTGGTAAGATGGGAGGAGTGCGGCATGTGTACTTGCTAGTGGGAAAGATCCAGCAGAAAGGGAAAGAAAGTGGAGGTGGGAGAGAGGAGAGAATTTCTGCTAGAAGCAGGGACAGTGCGTCCCAGACAGCTGCAGGAAGGCAGTGTCTGAGCACGGTGGCAGGGGAGGTGGATATGGCTGGGGTGGAGAGAGGCAGGGTGAAGGACGGGTCTCTTCTGGTGGGTGGGCTGCACTGTGCAGAGTTCGTGGAAACAGACCCAGGGGTGCAAGGGAGGCGGGGGCAGGGGCTGGAGGCACCGGGAAAGTACAAAGGGGTGATCTCTTCAAGGTCAGTGGTCGTTCTTCTGGCTTAGGACTGGGTGACTGACAGCGGGGCTCTACCTCTGTGGAGTCATGCACCAATGCTGATTTCCTAACAGACTTTTGCTCTTTAGGCTGGCCCCTGGCTCTGAGACAAGATTAGATCTTTATCTAACCCTTGTGGTCAATTCTTGAGACTAAGGAGACCCAATCTCGGTGTTTCATTTCCTGTTTCTGGACGGAATTTCCTCCTTCCTTCTACTGACTTCTCTCGCTGGGGTGAGCCTGCATTAAGGAAGGAGGGAGTGTCCGAAAGCCCTTCTCTGGTTAGGGGGGAGGGTAAGGCTAGGGGCCTTGCACAGCGGCTTTGGAAGTGGGGTGGCCAACAGCGCCCCCTTTGGAACGTTCAAGAACTCTGCAATCGCGATCATGATAGGTGACTTTAATTTATGAACCTATAAAAACTCAAAGTAGGTGACACATGCGCATGCTATAAACTTCAAAAGGGACTGAAATGAAATGCAAATCTCCCGCCCACCCCTGGCCTTCCGCTGTGTGGTTCTGAAGCCTCTGGAGGGGACCTCCAGAGACCAGGGTTTTGACAGTAACACGGGTATGCCTGGATAATTTTAGTGATGACTGAAAAAAATAGGGGAGCGTGTGTGGGTAGAACCATCTCAGCAGGGCTGGAAATACTTACTCAGGAAACTGGATGTCTATAAAATTTTTGGGCACGTATCCTTCCTGGCTCCCAAGCTCCGCCTTGAACCACTCCTCTTGGTTACTTAAGATCTACGGAGGACAAAGAGACAAAGACACTGCAGGGAAATATCAGAAAGCAAGAGGAGGAGCCTCTAGAGCAAAGAACATCCTCTCGGACTTAGAGGACACTGTTTGGGGACATATTTAAGGACGGCTGCTGCAGGAGGTACCTCAGCAGAAAGGGAGGAATGCCACCCACTCATGACCCTCCACCAGCGCTTGGCCTTCCAAACGCAGCGTTCAGGGACTTTCCTGAATCCCTTTCTCCTTCTGTTTGGGAATTTCTTTGTTCCAGATCTTAGCAGCACCTTCAGTTCTTCAATTGGGAAGATGATGGGAAGCAAGAATGAGATTTTCTTCTCTTTCACATAATCAGGAAACTTTTAGAGATGTAATTTTTTCCAGCACATAGGTTAAAATTTAGACATCCAAGTGGGCCAGCTTTGAAAACAGTAACTGTTTTCGTTCACACTGCATTTTGCAACTAGTTGGGACAAGATTCAAAATACTTGGGATGCCTTTTGTAAACTTGCTTCTGGAGCCAGTAAAACCAAAAGTTTTGTTTTGTTACTACATGGTTCTATCCTGACTGTTACCTTGCAAGTTGTCACCTACCTCGGATCCCCATATTACTCACCACACTTGGCTCTAGGCAGCCTCTAGCTATTTCAGAAAGCGAAATTCACCGTTAAAAGAAAAATATTTGCCACCCCCACAGAGAACGTTTCTAATGTATGTGACACGGATCTGAACAAAAATTCTAATGAGGATGGAAGGCAGCAGAACCTCGGCGATGCCAGTGAGCCGCTGTGTTAACCATCCAGGAGGCCCCTCTGCTTCTGGGCTTCAAAAAATAACAACTGTTTCTTGTTTAAGCCATTTTTCACTTCTGTTTCTTGTAGCTAAAAAGCCTTAATGGTTCAAAGTACTAAGATAGAGAGGAAAGCAGAAGATGCACAGGAAAGACTACCTGGAAGAGAGGCCACCTGCCCAGGCAAAGTTATTCGGTGAAGGAGCCACTTCTAGGGCACAAGCGAAGGTGGTGCCTTCTGAGAACTGTGCCTCAGTATGGCTGGAGTTTCGATTGTGAAACCAGGAGCAGAAGAAGGGGAAGTTAGCAGCACCCAGGGCTTTGGGCCCACTTTGAAGAGTTTGGATTTTCTTTTGACAATTTAGGGGGAGCCATGAAAAGATTTAAAGCAGGGATATAGCATTGAGAAGGGCGTTAAGAGGTCTGTACCGGAGCATGGAGGGGCAGGAGGTGGGGTAACCAAGGGGAGGAACTAGAGGCAGTTGGGCATAGCTCCTCGGACAAGAGGTGATGGGGCCAGAGCTTAGAGGAGGTGAGGACATATTTCAGAGGAATCAGAGAACAAAATGGGCAGGATTTTGTGACCATTCTGGGGAGCCAAGGAAGAAGGAGATTCTGGGAGGACTCTGGGTTTATAGCTTAGGAGACAGAGTGGGTGATGAGAGCTTTACAGAAATAGAAAGTAGGAGGAGGAGCTGGAAGGACTCATGGTCTTCAGATTGTACTCAGATGGTTTAGAGTGGAATCCAACTAAGAAGAGAAGCCCAGTGAGCCGCTGATGTGTGTGCTGGACTCAGGAGAGAGAGGGGCCTGGAGACCAGGAGTGTAGGCTCACCCAAGAGCGGGTAGATTTAGATTCATGAGCCCCAGGGGTTTCTTCCTCCCAGAGAAAAAGCTAGGAGGAGAACTGCAGAGAGCTCCATGCAGTTATGAAGAGAAGCAGTGATGACCTAGTTCTAAGATCACTCCTGCGATGGAAGGAAGCAGAGAGCGCTGAGTGTGGATGAGAAGACCTCATTTCTAGCTTGGCTTTGTCACTAGCTGTGTGACACGGGACAAGTGAATTAGCCATCTGGAAAACAGGGAAAAAAATAACCCCCAACACCTCACAGAGCTGACATGAGGGTCAAATAAGTCCTGGTACCTGAAAGTCCCTGAAAGCATATGTTCTTTTTTTAAAAATATAATTCTCTCAACTGTGATATCCTTGTGGGGGAGGACTCCAGCTCTGAAGGACACTGGAAGGGTTTACAGTTCTCTAAAGCATTATGTACGTATGTTTTGAATTCGTCATTTGTTCTGAGGAAATAAAAGTGTGTCCCATATTTGAGTTTGAGAACTGCTGAGAACAGAAAACTTTCTAGCTTCTTACATGCAGTGTGACTACTGTTGGTCTCACTAAGAACGTGTGGGTACGTGCATGCTGTCGGGGCGACGGGGAAGCAGAATATCTAGGTCAGAGGAAGAGCCAGGAAATGCAGCGGCAGTGCCTCACATTCAGTTGAGAACATGTGAATACTTCCCTCGTGCCACTGCTCCTGGGTTCATAACTTTGGAATTCCTTTCTCCCAAATGTGGTGTTTGGCCAGGTAGCAAATGTCAAATGCAAAGACAGAAGGGGCCTTCTTTGGAAATTGGCTTATTATAGTACTAACCGCACTTCATCCTTGTTCGCTGACCTGAACCAGCTGTAATTTTAGTAATCATGGCTCAGACTCACCTAACCACCTGCTTAAGAAACAGATTACCCTTAATGCCGGCCATTTGTCTCCACCACCTGGTGCTTGGTCTGCCTGAGATTGGGTTTCCAGAGAGCTGAATGACAGGCTTTTTGCGGTGTATAAAAGGCAAGGTATTTAAACAACAACAACAATAACAACAAAAAACCACCTCGTTTTCTGTAAAGTATGGGGGGGGTCCGACTGCTGTTGCATGCCCAGAGCCTTGTGCCTTCCTGCTCTCATCTCTCCCTTAATTCAGCTCTCGCTATCTCTTTATCCATCTCCTAAACCCAAGCAAGGAGTTCAGTTTAAACCCAAGAGGCTTGCACTGAAATTGCTGTATCTTGCTTCTTAAAATGTTCCCTAGGAGAATAATTTTCTGGGTTACATGGCCTGAGAATAAGTTAGACGTGGGAAGAGAAAGACCAAAAGTACAGCTAGAAAAACTTTTTTTTTAAAATTAGGTGGAATTACAGCTCTTTAGAGGCACAGCAGAAATCTGAAGTATTGAGGAAGTTAATTATATAGGATTAACTCAGTGCTTTTGGGTCACTATTTCAGAAGAAAGGGGATAGAATTGGATGCATTACTGAAACAGGTAGAAATGGAGTGGGTCAAGAGATATTTTTCTAAGTGATTGGCAAATTTCAATGGCAGATTCCAGCGTAAGTCTGGTGCTGTGTGTAGCTACCGGTATGGAGGTTTGGGACATGAAGAGTGGAGATCGTGGCTTTCCAAATGTTTCTCTCAGGAAAATAAAGATGGAATCACTTGGCAGGATTTCCCGTCCACTGCCTTGGTTAGCATTTGGTGCAGATCAGTGCCTACTAAGCACCTGCAGTTTTTGCCCAGGTGCTGGGAATACAGAGCTAAGTAAGCCCAGAGCTTGCCTCTTAAGGAACTTACAGTCTGGAGAAGCGGGTTGCTGATAAGCTAGCCACACCCATTTTTGTATTTTTCTAATGAAAATTTTACTTTTAGCACCAAAGGGTGAACAGGAGAGAAGGGTACCCCAGAGTGAATGGCTGAGGCATTTAAATATGACTTTGAAAATGATTGTGAGGATCCTGTGTGTGTTTCCCATCTCGGGATGGGAGGGGCTGACGCTGCTGTAGCCAGAGAGCCATGACATGGGCATTAATGACCATCATTTGACATTTCGGGAGCTCAGTCACATGCTCTGCATTTTTATCTTTACCACTACAGCTGTAATGGGCAAAATTTGAAAAGAGGGAGGGGGTTAGGTTTGGGATGGAATTCTAAGTGAGCATGCAGAAATGCAATTTAGCAATTAAAAAAAAATACACAATGAGTAAAGTATTTGGGGCCATGGCTTGTTTTAGATGCTGGGAAGACACAAAGATGCACCCAGCATGCTCTGCTCCCAGGGACCTAGCCAGGGGGAGGAATCCACCCATCAAACACTGGGGAGGGATGACAATGAGGCAGACATAGCCCCTGCTCTTACAGAGCTCAGGTGAGTGAGTAGGCAATGTGGAAGTGGACAATTAGGAGCCCACAGGGTCCAGGGCACAGTGAGAGATGCAACATAGAGGCACAGCCTGACTATATATAATTGTCAGGTGAGGCAAGATCATGAATGCCTGAAAATGAAGACTGTGTGTGTGTGTGTGTGTGTGTGTGTGTGTATGAAATGCTGGGGAAGAGCTGAAGAGGGATTATTTTGCTGGATGGTAGGGAAAGGGGAGGATCAATGAAGGTTCCTTGGCAGAAGTGACCAAATACTGTGTGTATATAAGGGAAAAGGGTGCTCAGAGTCTAGGGGAAAGCCTGGATAAGATGGTGTGGTGTGTTGCAGTGGAACCCGAGGTCATTATGTACACAAGGATGCACGTGAGCATGATGAGATGGGACAGGGCATGGAGGCCAGATGGTTTAGATTTCAATCAATTGGTAATGGAGAACCACTGAATGCTTTTGAGTAGTGAAATGACATGATCTGATTTGTCTTCTAGAAAAATTCTTCTGGGACTATATGTGCAATGATTGAAGGAGGAAAAGACAGGAGGCAATGAGGTCAGCCAAGGAGTTTTGGCAATATTTTGAGCCGGCAGAGGGAAGAGGAATGGATACACTGATAACATAGTGATCATTTATTGAGCATTTGCTTTGGGCCAGGACCCTGAAGGGTTGGTACTCTCTCCACTTATAGAGGAAGACGTTGAAGCTCAGAGGGGACAGGTGACTTGGCTCAAGGTCATGCAGCTGTAAATTGGAAGTCGAAACCGTTTCCAGTTTGGCTGCCAAACCCGAGCTCCTTTTTGCTGTATTGGTTTTGTAGTGAAGAAGGGGTTTGAGAGAGATTAGGAAAGGAACCTATTCAGAGCAGAGCAGAGTGTTTAGGGGTCAGACAGAGCTGCACTCAGATGCTGGTGTAGGCACAGTCTACTTATGTGACCTTGGACGTGTGATTTAATTTCCTCATCTTCAGTTTCATGTCTGTTAAATGGAGGAAAAAGTACCACCTGCCTTATGCATTTGCTGAGCTGATGAAATAATGCCTACAAACCACCCAGCCGGGTGAAAGCCCTGAATAGGAACTCAGGAGATGTTGGTTCCCGATCACCTAGTTGGTTTGGCAAGGGAAATAGAGATGGCTATAGAGGCTGCTAGCTTGGTGACCGACTCTGGTGACACTTGGAACATGGATAAGAGATGGATCTGGAAGCCCTTGAAGGCTCATGAGCAGAAGCTTTGGTCTGATGATACTATTGAAAGGTGTGGACAATTTTAGGAGCTGAAGCCTAGTGAGAAGAGGCAGGTCACTGGGAGCAGGCTTTTGAAGGTCATATATTGTCCCTAAACCTTTTTGCTTTGTCCTCTTTGTCTTTTTGCTTCTTGGTCACTACAAGGTAAGCAGCTTTGCTCCACCAATGTGTTCTGCCTCATCATGAGCCTAGAAACAATGGAGCCAGCCAACCGTGGACTGAAGCCTCTGAAACTATGGGCCAAAATAAATCTTTTCTCCTCTAAGTCGTTTTGCTTGGGTATTTTGTCACAGTAATAGGAAAACTGACAACACAGGGGGAGTAGTTTGTGTGGAAATGGGGGACAAAATGGATGTCAAGGTTTCAGGGGTTCAGCGGCTGGAGTCTTGTGGCAACATCCAGCAGGTGATTGGGACCAAAGGGAAAGGCCAGGGCTGGAGTTATCCTCCGAAGTGAGGGGGAAATCAGAGAAGGGGATGAGGTGGCTCAGAGTGAAAAGAAAAAACAAAAGGCTGAGTGCAGAACCTCAGGGAAGTTAGTGTCTCGGGCTAAAGAGGGGGAAAGGAGCTCTCAAAAGTGAGACCCAGAGTGGGGCTCAGGAAGGGAGGAAAAGGACAGGAGTGGAGAGTGACACACGAACAAGGGGAGAGAGCCTCCAGGAGAGGGGCAGTCAGCAGTCACATTCCCTGGGCGGGCTGTTAGAGGTCACATGAAGGAGGTCACTGGTGGGCTTTAGGAGGATGTCAGCAGGTGAGAGGCAGATTCCAGAGAGGAATGGGAAAGAAAATAAAGTGGAAGGTGCTCAGTATCAAGAATTTGTTCCATTTTTGGTGATAAAACATGAAAGTAGGAGCTGGTTGGGAAGCAGAGTTTTTGTTTTTTCCTTTTTCCTTTTCTAGAGAATAAGGGCAACTCAAGCAAGAGAAGTGCATTCTGTTTGTGACGGAAGATGAGGGTAGGAGCTGGCCTTGAGCCTCTTTGGAGTGGAGGATGCCCCAGTGTGGTTGATAATTACATGGCACCCACATGGCAAGTCTTGTGGTGATCTTGGTAAGGTCCCAAAGAAGTCAACGCCCTTTGAGCAGCTCAGTCAATATTTTGAGCTTGTAAATCTTCAACAAAGCTACTCTTTGCAACCATATCACTAGATCTTCCGAGTTAAGGGCAGTTAGAAGGCTATGGACTGAGGGTGTGCGAATGCCAGCGAAGCCATTGTATGTGGCTCGTGCCCCGAGGATGCTTTCCTGGTCACTCTTTCCCATGCTAAGGCTCTGTGATTCTGGCAAGACAAGGTTGGCCTCAGTGCTGCTGGGCATCTGAGAAGGTGCATTGGAGCTGCTAAGGACAGAGTCCAGGCTCCCTGGGGCTGTTCTGAGGTCAGGCAGGGGAAGGATGGCATCACATACTCCCTAAGACCCTCAGGAAGTGCTTGTATTTTTTTTTTTAACCAAAAAGTACAGACCTTAGCAGACTTACATGCATGATGCTTGGAAATGTGGGAGAAGTCCAAGGCCACTCCAGCTCCACAAGTGGCCACTGGAGCTCAAGTACAGGTTGCGGACAAGTTTTAAGAAGCTCCTGAGTGGCCAAGTGTGCCCGGCCTTTGTTGAACCACATCTAGTTCTGCTGCCTCCCCTAGCCGTCTCTGCCTGTACCCTTTTCTAAGTCCCAGCCATGAGGAACCTGGCAGTAGTCACTGCATTCAGCATGGCCATTGACATCTCTGAGGTTTACCAAAAGGCCCAAATGACTTGTTGCCTTCTTGACATTCACATTGTGACCCTTACTTTTCAAGGTGGAATCGCTTGTCACCCCACCGAGCACTGAGCCAAGAGCATGTGACAGCCCTTCTGATGGGTGTATTCCCCCTCCAGACCATGAGGATCTCAGGACAAGGACAGCACCTTAGGTCAACTCTGCATTTCTGTCATCTGGCCTGGTGTTTGGCATGTGGGAGTAGGAGAACAATCCATTGGGTGGAGGTGAATTGTTTTCTAAAAGGAACTGCGTGCAATTCTTTGTAGACAAAGACTTGGGCTGCTAGATAACCTCAGCAGCCAGACCAGTGGTCAGTGAAACCTCAACTTCCTGTGACTTCCCTGGCACCCCCCTCCCCCCACTGCATCCCCACCCATCACCTACCTTTAGGATGTCTCCAGTGTGAAAGCTCAGTTCGTCCTCACCGGAGGCCATGAAATCAAACTTGGCAACAGCTTCCATGTTGTGACGCGAAGCTGGAAGAGAAATACTGTGGTCATTGTGCCGTTCCTCCGGGGAAGGGCCGCAGAACAGATGGCCCTGCCTGGCAGTCTCAGCAATTGGTAGGACTGCGGCTGAGTGAATGTCTGCTGCCTCTGGCTGGAGAGCACAACTTGGGTTTCTGGCACGGGCTTGTGTTTGCAGCTAGAGCTGTGAGAATCTTTGGGATCTGGTTCCTGGGATCATCCTCTGAATCCCGTGCTGCCAGGAGCAGGAAATTCAGGCCAGCTATCCTTTCCCTTCTCCTTTCATCTCCCTTGGCCTGGTCTGGCCTGATGCCACTGCTGGGGCATCTCTGTTTCCAGTTGATAAGGACAGAAGGCTTGCTATCAACTGGAGTACGAGGCCTCAGGGGCTCGGAAGACTGCTTGTAAACACTGTCCTGAGGCTGTCCCCTGGCAGCTATACTAACCAGGCGGTGTTAATTAGACAGATGTCATTTTCTCTTTTACATCTGAATCATTTAAGAGAAATTAGACAGCACTGGTCGGTGGGGAACTGGAAGTTCTTCTTCTACACATTTCAGAGGAGGGAACAGTTTGGTCTTTGGGCTGGGAAACTTCTGAGCTGGGTCAGCTTCTTCATTACATTGTTACTGCATTTCAGAAATTTTTTGATTTTAACATTTCTGAGCAGAGTTAAAATCCTGGCCGCTCCTAGTAATTGCGGCCTCTATGTAAAGATCAGCCAGTCAGCCTATGTGCTACGCGGAGTGTGCAGTTTTGTTTTGTTTTCCAGGAGCCCGTGGAGAAGTCATAGAAAGAGCAGGGCAGAATCCTTCTTTTACCAGTAAACAGCCGTGTGATCTTGGGTACCGTATTAAACCTCTTGGAGCCTCAGTGTCCTCATTTGTAAAACGGAGATCACTGTATTTAGCTGATAAAGTTGTAGGTTAAAATTGAATAGTAAACGCAAAGCATTACACAAGGTGATCACACAAGGAATATGAATGTTTTAAAAAAAATTGTGGAATGAATCTTTCCCCAGTCAAGACAGCCGGGCAAGATACAGCACAGGAAAGTTCTTTCTGATGTCTCTCATTGCCTGTAAACTTTTCTCACTGTAACGTGACACTTAATCTCCAGAACTATCAAATCCTTTGATTCTCTGCTAAGACAGCTTACTGTCAGGGCAGAAATGGGAACGCTGAGGCTTGGCATTTATGTTTTTAAAAATTTCCCTAAGTCTCAGCCACTTTGGGTGAGTTAAGTAACCCTCAAACCCAGTGGTCTTTTAGTGGTCGGTAAACTGGGGTCACAATTGTCCTCTCAGTGGGAATTTCTGCCCCAGTAGACAAGATTTAGGTAAATAAGGCAGGTGGCAGCAGGCGGCAGAGTGTAGCAGGGCCAGCTCAGAGGATTAAAGCCGACTGTGACAGGGTGATAGCAAGGGGCTTGTGTCTCTGATGTCCCACATTTGCCTGGCTTCCCACGGGTAATTTGGAGTGACGAATATTACGAATCCAAAGGTAGATATTAAGCAAAAAATAGCTCGGGAGTTAAATAAAATGTCATAGTTGGCTCTTTGAGCTTTTTTTCCACCGGTCAAAACTTATTTCCAAACAGCAACAACTCAAAATCACTTTTCATATACTTTCTTCAAGACTGGGCCATTTAAGGCAAATGAACATTTTTGTAACCTTGACTGACCCACTAAACAGGAAGGAGTATTCTGTCCTCCTTCCTTAATGCTAAATGCCTTTGCCTGTTTGATTGATTCTATTACATTAACATGCAAAGCTTCTCCTAATTAGGGCCTTGCTGTGGTTTGTAGGGGGACTGGCTTCTATGGGTCACCCTCACAGTATCCATAGGAGACAATGGTTGCCTCAAAAGGTCGAGTGTCACATGAAGGGTCCTGAAAGTTGTGATCCCATTTCCATGCAAATTTACCTTAATAAGCAGAATGGAGACAAGAGGAGGGCAAATGCTAAGCACATCAGAAAGTCACATAAATTAGAGTTAAAAGAAAAAAGAAACGTACAAAGCATGTTCTAGGTGTGACCTTGAGTTTGGAAAGACCTCTTTGATGTTACTTGTAACTCGGCTCAGGTCAGGTACTTGGTCCAGGCTGGTTGTGAATCACATTGGGTGAGAAGACCAAGGCAGAAATAAAACTGCTTCTAAATAGTATCATTTCTTTCCACCTTCCCCCAGGAGGCAGGCAGTGTGCAAAGCCAGAGGCATAGGCATATCACAGAGCACCCCAGCTTGTAATATTAATCCTGGCTCCAAAAACCCAATTAAATAAGCCGGCTCTTCATGAAATCACTTTGCAAAAAATGTATTTGCTCCCATTTCCATTTATGAAATGAAATCTGAGCAGCTGCTAGTTGGTGGGAGGGAGAAGTTCCAGGTAGGTTGGAGTAGGCTCTGTTTTAGTTCAAATCCCAGGGCTTCACAAACTCCTCCCTCGAAGCACCCCTAATACCAGAGAATGGCAAATATGTCACCCCCAGAGGTTAGTTTTCTGTCTGATCATTGAAAAGCACAAAAGTTATGTCCTAGTTTTCTATACCTATTAGTGTTCATTCTGAAAAGTTGCAAAAGTACCACCAGGGAAAAGAAGACTGAACCAATATACTTCATTCTGTATGTATTGATTGGTTGTATAATCTGTCCTTGCCATTGCTACCACCATCTGGGGGAAAATATATGACGGAGAGAAAAATTGGGCAGCAATAACTGAGAGGGAGAAAGACAAAGGGACAGAGAGAGAGAGAAAGTGAGAGAAAGAGAGAGAGAGAGAGAGAGAGAGAGAGAGCGCACAGCAGCCTACATTCAAGAATGCAATGGCGCCTTTTCACTGCTGTTTGTAATTTTAGTCTCCCCTGGGGGAGACCAAGAGAGACCCCTTCTCAGAAAGCCTCACAGATGGATTCCATGTACTGTCTCCTTGCTAGTGATCAGCTTTACAAATGGCTGAAATGCCACCTGCCATGCAGTGTGAGAAGCTGCAGCTTTGGAGGGGGGCAGCCAAGCCATCTCCAGCAGGCCCCCTCCTCCCAGCCTGGATGATGATGCCATTTGTGGGGCCCTAATGCCAGCTCTGCTTCTCAGCAGCCTTTCGCAACTCTCTCATGCATCATCCATTAGCAGCCCTGTGACACAGACCTGCTTCACTGTGGGTAACGCCACGCAGGGCTGCCCCCACATGATTTTTTCTGCCCTTCCATTTCCATTTAAGCTTCTTTTAACATTAAAAAAAAATCTGAAAAACATTCAGGCTATACACCAGGAATACGTGTCTCCTTCTAAAATACAGCCAGCCCAGAGGGTGAAAACAAAAAGCAGGAGACAGATCTTTAAAATTACCTTCATTTGAACGCCAGATTAAGTGGATTTGTTCAGAAACCTATTTACCATCAAAATGGTACCGGGCAAGAAACTTCTTGAACAATTTCAGCTCCTCCTAAGTTGGCTATGAATAGCCAAGGTTTCCATTTTATGTATCTTAAAAAGAGCAATTGCATAACACCACGAAGCTAGGCGAAGATTCCAGCTCAGGACCCAACAAAAGAGCGAGTGAGGTCCAAAACTGAATCAGTGATACCACTTCCTATTTTGCCAGGGACAGCTCTAATTTGAATACTTGCCCCAGTTTATGTTGTAATTTAGATAACATAATGCCTTGCAATTTTAGAGAGAGAGAGAGAGAGATTGCTTTTTATAAGTCTTGCTGGTTGCATATTTATCAGGACATTAGCTGTAAGTATAATTTTTATTAGTTTATTTGTGTATGAAGTGAATAATGAACAGTTTACATTTTAGGATTTTGGCCACAGCTACCAGGAGTCATTCAGCAAAAAATGTAAAATTATTCCAGCTATTTAATGTCCCACAATTCAGACACTTAGAATTCATAGTTTCTCTCTTCCTTCTTAATCTTCCCTCCATCCTTGCTTTTCTCTGAGATGGGGTCTCGCTGTGATGTGCAGTCTTGTCTTATACTCGTGGGCTGGACTGATCCTCCTGCCTCAACCTCCTGAGTGGTTGGGGCTACAGGTGCCTGCCCTGGAACCCTGGGAATCCACCACCCTTGTATGGGTCAGGTAAAGCCCCTCTTGGAGATCGGTAGAGTGCTTCCTCTCCCCGTGGAATTGACAAGGTTGTCTCAATTAGTTTTCAGAAGCAGGAAACCTTATGCTACCAGGGAAAAGCGATTATAGTTAAACTCCACTGTACACAATAGGAATGTTCTTGAAAAGTTATTATGAATAGAGTATTTGTAAATGGAATCATATTAGCATGTATTATGGAGGCTCACTCTACAAAAGAACCCTGTGGTGAATCCTTTATAAAATGAAAAGGAAATTTTGTTATGCAAATAACTACCTTTTAATTGATCTGTTTGAAAGTCTAGGTTTTTAGGCCCCGAATCTTAAAACAGAGCACACCTGTATATTGCCTCTAGCTCCCTGCACTGGGGGCCAAATATATTTTAGATTCCCCGCTTCTCAGTTCTCAAAGCATTAAAAACTCTCTCCTATTGCTAAAGAGCATTTCAGTCTTAGAGAGTAGACAATATTCACCAATATTCAAGCGCACTGGTAGTTAGAAAGGTGCCCTAAATGACAAATGAATGGTCAGAACTGTGTTTCAATAAAACTTTGTTAACATTAAAATTTGAACTTACTTAGTTTTTAATATGGCACCAAGTAGCATTATTCTTTTGACCCCCCCATCAACACTTAAAAATTAAAAACCACCTTAGCTCAAAACCAAAACCATGTGACGGGCTGGCCTGGGTTCATCAAATCTTGATACACACATTTATATTGCTGCACGCATTTGTAGCTATGTCTGTATCCTACCTCCCCTTGTAGTGTGCAAGCTTATGACAGGAGGGTGGTAGCTCAGTGGATTTAAGAGTGGATGGGCCTGAATTTGAACCTAAAATGGGCCACTTCTTAGGTGCCATTGCTGCCTCATGCGTAAATCAGGGGTAACCACACCACTTTGTGGGATCACTGCACTTTAATGCACAGCCCTGACACATAGTAGGTGTCCAGTCAGTGATAGTTCTTAGTATTTCTTTGGAGATGTCCTACAATCCTTAGTTGTGTTTAGCAGTCACTTAGTAGATGTTAGCTGAGCAAACAAAAACATGACAAATGTCCTGCCATCAGAAGTATAATAACTAGAGTTGGTTTCCTCAGGGAGGGATCAGCAGACAGAAGACTCACTTGTAAGGATCCATTAATCTCCTTCTCCAAGGTGGCCCAGCTTTTCAGCAAATTCAGCCAGAGAGGATGAA